ACAAGTTTGGAGAGCAAAAATCATTTTCATGGAAAGAGAAGGGTTGAATATAGGAATATAAGAGTTTCATAACATTTCCATTAAAGTAATAACTTCCTTGTTGGAAATCATGCATATTTTCCAACGGGAATAATTGCTACTATATAATATCGATCATATATGGAAATAAAAATAAAAATCTTAACAATATAAGGAAAAATGGAAAAATCTGAATCGTTACATCGTATCTGTCACCACGGTGTCAGACGTTCTCGCCTCTTTACTGGTGGTTGCATATGCCCTGGTGATGGTGTTACTATAACACGTGCGGAAACAATTTGAATCTTAAGCACTCTAGATACATCAATTATAGTAAATTAGCTAGCATGTTCAAAAGCATTAAAACTCAATAAGTTTAAATACTAACCTTTTATAGTTCAAATTCATTTTTCCTCACGAACGGCTTCGAACCATCACTAATGTCTTTCCTACTATTCTTCGGCCTTAGAACGGGATTGTGGAATCCGGTGAGTGATGAAACTTGATAGGAATTTAGTATATATAAAGAGAGAGTTTTGAGAGATTTTCTCAAAATTTTTCCAGAAGAATTTTCATGTACCTTGATTACTCTATTTATAGTCATATTTGCATGTTCATGCAAATTTGAGATTATAAAATTTTGACACTCAAAATTTCACTCAAATTTGTGGGATTATGTGGCAAGTATGCAAGTTTGAGTTAACCACTCAAAATTTCACTCAAATTTGTGAGATTATTTGGCAAAAATGCAAGTTTGGTTAAACCAAATTTTGACACTCAAAATTCCACCCAAATTTGTGGGATTATGTGACAAACATGCTCGTTAAACCATAAATTGACACTCAATATTCCACTAACTCAAACATGAATTTTTTCCATTTTTTCCATTAGGTGAAGTCAACCTTTTGACTTTCTCTATTTTAATTCAACAATCAATTTAAATAATTAATTTCAAATCAAAATAATATTAAATGATTAATTAAAAAAATTAATCAATATTTAACCTTAAATAAAATGTCAATCCCAATCCATTAAAGCACATATTGATTAAGAATCATTATTCATAATTAAAATATTTAAATCTTATTTAAATATCTTTAATTCTCTCTTTTTGTTCAATTCATAATTAAATCATAATGCGGTTAAATATATCATATATATTTAGCGTGTATTCCCTAATTTGAATTTGAACACTTCGAACTCACTTGTCACATTGTTCTAAGATTTAGTCCGATATTAGCTAGCAGAGGGACCTAATAGACCTACAGATCATGAGCTCCAACGATTCGAGATTAACCGGTTAAACTCATTAACCTTGACCAACATTTCTTAACTACTAGAACACTCCACTATAGCCTAGTAGTTGCACTCCCCTCACTATAGAGATATTCCTGTCCATTTGATATAACCATGATTAGTAAGTCGATCCTTCATAGCTGGGTCAATTTATCGTTTTACCCCTAAAGTAAATTTTTGTTCCTTAAGTCTCACTGATCCTCTCATGAACAATTTGTTTGTGGTCCAACCACTAAACCAAATCCCTCTCGGGCCAATGAGAGGGTGGGACCCCTTGTTCAAGACTTGGAGTCAGTACTTAAGGGAACAACCTTTCTACTATCCCTAAAAGAAGGTAGGAGTGAATTCCATCTTACACCCTATGTCCCGAGCTATTCACCCAGTCTTACCTCTGAAATGGGAGGCTTATTGAGTCGGCAAACTCGGGCCACTCTCACCCATGCAAATCTAAGGATAATTCCAAATAAACAGGAGTTCATAGTTAGCTCAGGATCAAGATCAAGTTACCTAGGTCATCGAATGAAAAAATCAGTCTTAACAGTAAATGACATTATAAAGTGAGAGTGGTTTTCTTCATGGTCCGATCTTATGCAATACTCATTGCATAGGACGCCCCCACTCACATGTCTCCACATGTACAATTTAGTGATCACATTATTTATATCATATACAAAAGTGGGCTGTATCCATAGTGTCCCCATAATAAGGTACTCAGCCTTATCCTTGTACTATACATCATTTTGACTATATACTTGAACTTGATCCACTCTTATGTCTCTACATATAGTTCAAGTAATCATACTATAGCTAGAGTGTAATCATACTATAGCTAGAGTGTTCTTAGTTTATTGGATTTAGATTAATGATCGTAACATTCACTTTATTCAATAACAATCTTTACTGAATAAACATCAATAATAACTTTATTGAAAACAGAATATGTTTTTGTTTACAAACTATGAATTTTAGGACTTAGAACCCAACACTTGGTCTGTGCGCGTGTTTTCATGGTGGGTTCTCGAATGACCGAACCTCTAAGGGGTTCCTTTGGGTTTCCCGTGTCCCTTGCAGAGCAAGCTCTAGCCAAGTGATCTGCACGACCGCACCTATAACACACACCGAAGCCTATCATACATTTGCCATAATGTTGTTTTCCATTGTCGTGACACATGGATTTTTTCGGTAATAGGTATCGGGCTAATGGGGGCGGAGTAGGTGGCCTGTTTTGATGTCGAGGTCACTGGAGTGGCAGTTGAAATTCTGTGGGTCCGACCTCGACGGGGCGTTTCTTTCCTATGGCAACCGTTGGCTCCGGATTTTTCTCCTCTAGAGGTTCCTTCAGAGCCTCTTCGTAAGTTTTCAGGTTAAATGTCTATAACATGCGGCGGGCCTTTGGGTTCAACCCCAACACAAATTTCTCCGTCTATTTCTCTTCAGTGTCTACTAGTGACGGTGCGAACCTTCTTAATCTCATGAATTCCAGATCATACTGATCCATCGTGCATTCGCCTTGGGTCAGATGATTAATTCTTGTTGTTTCTTTATACGAGTTTCCTTTGGATAATAGTATTTTAGGAAGGCTTCCTTAAAGGTTTCCCACATTGTGATCCCCTCTCTCGGGTTGATATTCTGTTTATTATCTGCCCACCACACTTTTGCGTCTTTTTGTAGTACATATGTCGTGCACGCTACTTTATGGTCATCAAGACATCTCATTGATTCAAAGGTCGTTTCCATGGTTGCGATCCACATCTGAGCTGCTGTGGGATCTTCCTTTGAACTGACGAATGGACGGGGGTCATACCGTCTGAAGTCTTTTAACCAACTCACCCCCCTGTTCGGTTGCGGGTTTTTGGCCGGTTGTGTGACCACAGCATCGACCGGTTGCGTGGCCGTCACATTGGCTGGTTGCATGCCCAATGCTGCAACTTGTTGCGTAGCTAACAATGTGGCCAGTTGTGTGGCCAACATTGTTTGCATCATCGTTTGGAGTAACTCCAAAACCATTCGTGTGGTGGGGTCCAACCAAGCCTGTGGTGTAGTTTGAGGGGGTGGTGCGTTTTCAGGAGGTAGTGCAACTTGTGGGGGAGGTGCGCTTTTAGGAGAGGGTGCAGTTTGTGGGGGAGGTGCGTTTTCAGGAGGGGGTGCAACTTGTAGGGGAGGTTCCCTCGATGGTAGTTCAAGTGCATAGGGTCCAATAGTCGACCCTTCTTGGAAAGAGGTTCTTTTGGCTTCTCTTCTTCCCCATCTCCTAATGGGAGGTCGTCCTCTCCCTCTCCTACCTCTTCTACGCCCTTTGTGCGGCATGGTTCTAGAAACCAAGAAAATAATTCTATCCAAGTCTATGATTTACTTATAATATTACTTACATTCTACTAAATCATTCAGGAAAAAGAAAACATAAACGCGTAACATAAAGACATGCATCGACACAAGATCACATCATAGCATAAAATCATACAGTATCATAACACTCGATATTTAAAGTCAATCACATTAAATATATCACAAAAATGTCCATAACCTAGGGCTCTGATACGAACTATAACGACCCTAAATTTTTACTTATTTAATCCAAGGTCATTATTATACTTTAAACGCAGAATTTACTTTAATAGAGCTCTTATCATAACTAGGACATAAGTTTGTCTTTTATTACCTCATAATAATGAATACAAGGAAAAGAAAGGGAAAACAACTCTGAAATAAATGTTCTATACTAACCTATGATTTATTTACGCAATTACAATCCAACCTATACTAATGATGCAAACGGGAATTCAACTTATACTAACCTATACTATGAATGCAAATGGAATTCAACCTATACTAACCTATCCTCTCCTCTCAGCTACTCTATCTGTTCCAAAAATTTATCAATAACCTATTAAAAATACAACTTTATTAATAAAAAAATAAAAAATATATTAATAACTTAGTAAATTAATTTCTCACTCAAATGTGATTATTGTGATTGAGAATTGTAACTTGGAAATCTTCCTAGATTGAGTTTAAAATAATATATTTTATGAGTTTAAAATAATATATTTTATAAATTTAAAATAATATAAAATATGAAACTTTTTTATAAAATATAATATGGTAGTAACATTCGTGAATTGAGCTTCCGGTGAATGTTATATTCTACATATTCTATATTAAATTTATACCAAAAGTAGTAAGTTGAGTACATGTTAATGTGTATATTTTAATGCATGATGTATATTTATCATAATGTACATCAAGCTTTACAGAAAAAGTATTGATATTTGTTATATCCGGTAGTATATAATTTATTATCATAACATATGTGCAAATAAGATCACAAGATGAGCGGTAAAATACCTAACCTAAAAAATAAAAATAAATGAATTAAACATTGAAAAAAGAAACCATTAATTTAAGAGCGAATAAATAAATAAATAACTACAGAAATAGAATAAAAATAATAATAATAAAGAATTATGGGTGGGAGGGATAATCGGGTGGATTAATGCAGGAAAAATTAACGGAAAGAATATAGATAATTGTAAAAAAAAAATTAAAAATCCATATCTATTGCCCACCATAAATATAAATAAATATATATATATATATATATATATATATATATATATATATATTAAGAAATATAAAAATGAAAAAATGAAAAAAAAAAATGCAAATTTTGAGCGATTTAAAAAAAAATGATGGGGATGGGCTACGACCGGAAAGCCCGAGTGAAGAGGAGGGAGAGAGAAAGTGGAGGGCATAGGGCTATACGAAACCGAAAAAGATCCCATTACCAATCCGACTGCGGACAAAGAAGGCGAACGCTTCCGCTGAACAAAGGGCCAGACACCCAAGGTCTTTCTTTCTTTCATTCTCTCTCTATTTCATCTGAGCTCTGTAAATGCATGCTTTTGGTTTAACTCTTTGGAACCATGGATTTTCTTTGCTGTCTTCCATCTCCCATATGGCATATGCAATGTAGCTGTTCGAAGTAAGCATATAGATTCTTTTTTTTTTGGCCAATTTCGATTCAGGGTTTATAGACATCTGCTAGACAATGTCCGAAGAAGAGCTCAGCTCGGGGTTTAGGTTCAAGAAGAAACTCAAGCTTGCGGCTGGTAAATCTAAGAGTTCCAAGAGCGGTGAACATGGAAGGAAGAACTTCGATAGGAGCACAAGAGATAGCGACACAATTGCAAGAACTGCGAGTGTTGAAAAGGCTGCCTGGAAGGGAAAACAGAGGACTCCAATTGCTAATGTTAAAAGACAGCGAATATATGGTGGCCAAAATAGTGATATGAAGGTTACCTCATTCAAGTCTCCTTCGCGAAGAGGACACGATGCTGGAGTAGCCGGGAAGAGCAGTGACGCATATGCTTCTTCACTTCTGGCTTCTAAGAGTTTAAGCCATTCTAGTTCACAAGGCAAACGCTCTAATAAAAAGCAAGAAAATGATATCAGAAGTCCGAAAGTGTCATATGAAAGAAGGAAAACTAGGGGGGAAAAAGATCTCTATGTGGAATCCGTAAGGAAGACACATTCCAAAAACACCAAGGATTTGAGCAACACAATGGATTCTACTGTGAAAAAATCATGGGGTATAACTCCTTCAGATCCTACCAAGAAAAGAGTTTTCAGGACAACAAGTGCAAATGGTGATCCAGATATACGAACTGATAAGTCAAAAAAGAGGAAACGGGTAATTCGTATAGATCCATACGATGTCTCGAATAAGCGGCTGGATGATGGGATACTAACTGATGGTGAGATCATATCCATGTCTCAGTTTCCTACTAATCCCATTGATTGCTTGGATGTAATTGAACTACTTTATTTTTCAATATGCTAAGCTTAATGATAGATGTATCGTCCTACCTTTGATTCCAGAAAATGCCAGGCAGGAGAAAGCAAAACCAGAGGAAAAAGATGAGATATCAAGCAATGCTCAGTTCCGTGCAATACAGCCTAGTAAATCTATCATTTCGTTCGTAGAAGATAATGTAATTTGCATACCATGTGTTGTTAAGTCTGTTTCCCCATTAGGCATCAACATTTTTTGTGCTGTTCCATTTATGATTGTTTATTATGTCGTTGACAGTTGTTGGGGCGTAGGCGCATGATTGAGCTTAGAAGAGCAGGCTACAACACTGACCTCTCTGCCCCATTGGATAATATCCCTTTTTCTAGCAGTGCTGAGAGAGAAAGAATTGAAGAAAATGTATGTATACAATACTTATGCAACAGAAATGTTAATATTTATTTTTCCATTCCCCAATCCTATCATTTTCGAGTGGAAACTAATTGTAATGTGCAGGTATTCAGGAATAAGTTAACCTTCTTTGCTGCTGCAAAAGTTTCATCATCTTTTCCGACTCCGGATTTGCCAGAAATCGCATTTGCTGGTACGTATTCGAAGTTTTGCACTTGCTTAGCTATCTGATATTCTCGATACATTAACTAGTAATTCTTGAAAATCTAATTTACATTTGTAGTTGTATCGGATAATATTTGATATATTTGTCATTGTGTTTTTGACGTTGAAGTGTACTGTTATCATGAATTAGCTAGTATTTCTTAGAGTCTCTTGTGTATCTTTGAAGATATTATGCGAGTGAATGGGGGAGGAGGCTAGAACAACCTGTCTAAGAAATATTTTAACTTAATTCCAAGTCATGAAAAAATGACGGTTTTACTCCTCCCAGTCTCTACAATCCTCATGCTTTGGGTTGCTACAATATTATGGATTTTTTGGATTGGACATTAGTTCCTTGGAAGACATTTTGATATTGCCTTAAATCTTCCTTCATGGTAGGAAGATCAAATGTGGGAAAGTCATCACTGCTTAATGCCATTACAAGACAATGGGGTGTTGCACGGACGTCTGACAAACCTGGTCTTACTCAGGTGACGATGTCTACAATTCTGGGTAGATATTGTGTTGGAAATGTCTAGTAACACTTGATAATGTTTGTTCATTTACAGACCATTAATTTTTTTAATCTGGGATCAAAGATGTCTTTGGTTGATTTACCTGGATATGGCTTTGCTTATGCAAAAGAAGAAGTTAAGGATGCTTGGGAGGAATTGGTAAGAATTTCTATTTTAAGTTGGCCTTCCCCAGAAACTGATTGTTCATAACAGCAATGGGCAGCCAACTAATTGACTGAAGACTTGTACATCTTAGGTGAAAGAGTACGTTGCAACGAGAGTTGGTCTGAAACAGGTATGCTTACTTATTGATACGAAATGGGGGATGAAGCCAAGGGATCAAGAGCTCATTGATTTGATGGAAAGGTACCAAATTTACATGCACTGAACTTTCTATATATATGATGTATTGTTGTGTTGATGCTTATGAATTAATTCACTGTGATAGATCTCAAACTAAATACCAAATTGTATTGACAAAGACTGATACGGTCTTCCCAATGGATGTAGCACGTAGAGCAATGCAAATTGAAGAGGTTTTATCACTCACCCCCCTTATGATTATAAAATCTCTTCTAAAACCATTATTTGTTTGTTGGTTTTTTCTTCCTTTCTTCTTTTGAGACTGACAACTATTGGCCACAAATTTTTTTTCAGAGATTCCAGGCAAATAAGTCAATTGTCCAACCTCTGGTATGGGCAAAAGTGTTTGTTGAGTTAATTTTCTCCATGTTTCGCCCAAGTAATAGATGTGGTTTATCATTTCAGATGATGGTAAGTTCAAAATCAGGAGCTGGTATCCGAAGTTTAAGAACAGCTCTGGCGAAAATCGCTCGGTTTGCTAAAGTCTAGATGAGAGGTGCTTACTCGAGTATCATAAAGCTTTTTTCTGCTGGGACATCATGGATATTCTTCTGATCAGCTTAAGTTTGGCAGTCAATTTGGAAACACAATGAAGTCCCTGTCTCAAGTTCGTCAAAGCTCAAGCAAGTGCTGCAACTTGGCTCAACAGTTTTTTCATGAACGTGCAGAAACCGAGCGCGAAAGAAATATAAGTCATTGTCTTTTTTGGTTGCAATTCAAAGATGTGAAGCGAATCGGGGAATTGCGCTAAAAAAGGGTCAATCTTGTTGCTTTAAGGAATATTACGAAACTGGCTTACGGTGTTTCCCTATATGTCTTTCCTTTTGCCCTGTATGCGGTGGCCTTACAGTACTACCCCATCTTATTCGTAGTAGAAGAAATGGGCCGGACTTAGATAATTTTAATTGAAAATTATGATTTACATGTTTCGTCCTTTATTATTAAACCTTTGCTAGAGGGTCTTTGCTTGGTTGGTTTTACCTCCATGCATTCGCCCTGATTCCTGCTCATCATCTATGGATGACGACATTGACAGTTGAGTTGGTGCACCATTTTGGACTTGTCAACTCCATAAAAGAATAGTAGCCAGCCACCATTATCCTTTTGTGTTAAATATTCTAACCTTATCAGATTGTTCATATTATTCGTCTTGATTTGGGGGCCTTTCAATTTAGTCATAAGAAATAATAGAAAGGGAGTGGTTAGGTTAGGTGGAAAAGCAAGTTTCTTGGTATCAAAATATTCTAAATTCCTCAAAATTTTGATAATTTCTTCACTTCACTGCCCTTGATTATTTACCCTAATCATTTCTTCCTCTTCCTCGCCACGAATCTCTCCTTCATTCAGATCCGAAGGTTAGGGAAGGACGGGCGTTGAAAAAAATGTGTCCGCTGAGATTTATTCTCATATTTCTCTCAGCGACTCTTGCCGGCTTCTTTGTTCTCCGGAACCTCAAATCTCAGCCTCAAGATTTCGAGGCCGACGATAATTCCGAAACCCACTCCAACGATGTGTCTACCAATTCGACCTCCTCCTCCTCTTTCTCCAAGGTTCTTGTAATTCTTTTATACCGGAATCTCGCATTTCCTTCTTGTTTCTTTGTTTGTGTCTGAACGGAAGGATTGTGGTTTGTTTGAACAGGTGTACTCGGCAATGCAATCGGGATTCTGGACGGTGGTCGACATGGCCAGCGGCCGCTACTTGTGGAGACATTTGTTGCCCTCGTCGAAGAAGCCTTCCAATTGATGCGACTGTTTCGGGCTAGGGCTTCCGTATTGTTCGGGTTTCCTATATATCGTTGGATAGTTCTCCTCCTCTTGTATTCCCTTCGAGTTGAGTTTGTAAAACCCTTCCTCTTCCTTCCTATCGAATATCGTCGTTAACGTCTGTAAGTCTGTAACAGAGACACTCAAAGTGTTCAGAAATGTGCTTCATCGCAATCGCTTCTGATATCAATTAAGATTTCCGAGTTTCTTCTGTTGTTTGAGTCGATCATTGAATCGTTCATCCGTTTGCGGGCAATCCAATCAGCTTTACGGAAAATAACTCAGGATAAACAACTTTAAATTAAAGTTGGATTCTTAGATTCGATTCATATTTTAAGATGAAATTTACGGCAACCGAAACAACTTTAATAAGCAAACAACGTATTCTAATCTGAAGAACTGCGGATTTCGACGCCATACTTCTTTTCCCTGTACTAATTCGGGCTAAACGGTAAATGCACGAACCAACCCAATTGCCTGTAATGAACCGGTTCAAAATCCCGAGCCATTTACGTGAATAAATACCCATTCAAGTTTTACGTCAACGGTCGAATTGGATTTTTTTTAAGTAAATTTTCATCTTCTTGAGAGAGAGAGAGAGAGAGAGAGAGAGAGAGAGAGAGAGAGAGAGAGAGATGCGGAGGAGGAAAGAGAAGCCGGAAATCCCTAAAACCATGGCTGTTGCAGAAGAGAAGAAGGAAGACGATGAAGATGAAGAAAGGGGTAACGAAGGGAACGGTTTCTTTTCATGCTATCTCTTGGCCTCTGCGTGCCCTCGTTACAAAGGCCATACCTATATTGGGTTCGATTCTTTTCTCTTCTTGCATCCCTAGATCGGATCTTCTATCTGCTTGTCTTCTCTCTGAAATAATGGATTGAAAAACGCCGTTTTACTATCTCTGGATACTCGGATCTGTTTCTCTACTTTTCAATTCTGGAAATTTCTTTACCATCTTTCTTTTGCTTCCTGCCTTAATTAATTGAGTGAGTGGGAACATCAAGAAATGTGAGAAATGCGTAAATGAGATTCACAGTGAACTGTTATTTGGAATTTCAGATTCACAGTGAACCCTAAACGTAGAATCAGACAGCACAATGGCGAAATTAGATGCGGTGCGTGGCGTACTAAGAGGAAGAGACCTTGGGAAATGGTGTTCTGCATTTACGGCTTCCCCACCAATGTCTCTGCTCTTCAGGTTACATTTCCGGACTTCGAGCTCTACAAATCGCTCGATTGTGCGTCTTTTATGCATCGAGTGCCTTCTACTAGCTGAATGACTCTTCGATGACTTTAATTGTATACGGTTAGGGGTTTCGGGAATTTACCAACATGTGTTGGTGGTTTCCTTTTTAACCTGTATCTTAATTTGATGTTCTAACTGTGAATGCAGTTTGAATGGGCCTGGCAGCATCCTAATGAGTCATTAGCCGTAAGAAGTGCTGCTGCAACTTTCAAGTCTCTATCTGGAATTGCCAACAAAATTAAACTTGCATACACAATGCTCACACTTCCAGCTTGGTGTAGGTATGAGAAAATTTATACAACATCCAATTTTTCTGTCAAATTTGTTGGAAATGTGAACATAATTAAGGACAATATCCTTATAACTGTGAGGTTTTTTGGGTGCAACCAAAGTTAAAGTCTGATAGGGACAATGTCTTACTATTATGATTTATAAAGAACAAACTGATGCAAATTTCAATCAAATTTGTCTGTCCTGCTCTCTATTCACTTTTTCCTCCTTATCCTTGCAGTTTGAATATTACTGTAAACTACTTCTCAACAAAGTACATGAATAATGCGGCTGGTTGCCCAAGTTTGCCAGGGCATATGAGGGTCCAAATTTCCCCCATCGATGAGCTCCCATGCTATTCCGAAGGAGATCGATGTGTGCTTGAAAATGAAAATGACTGGGAGTATAATAAAGAATATGAAGAAGTTTGTAGTTCTCAAGTACATGGATTGATGACTGAAGTTCCAAATGAAATTCCTCAAACGTTGATGGATTACTCGACAGGTACAGATGGAAGACCTCATGAATTGCGTGGATCCGATGAAGAACTAGACGACAATGAACAAGTGCCACATTCTTCGTGTACTCCGTCTTATATTGATGTCGGTGTGTCTTATGACTTGCGTGGATGTGATGAACAAGAGCCGGCTTTGTGTGCTCAGCCTTGTACTGTAGAAGGTTGGACTGAAATCATCATCGATGATGGAGAGGAAAACCAATTAGAAGGGAGTGGTATGAAATTGCAGCAGCAACCTGGTAGGAAGAAGAACTTATCAGGAATAGCTACTGAAATCAGCAAAGTTTCATATGGGCTTCCTCCTGTTGAGTATGAGGTTATAGACGTGTCTACCCCGTCTCCCGTCTGCAGAACAAGTTCGCATAAATTCAAGAGAAGACTTATTACTGGTAGGTCTGAGATTGTTGACTTGACTAAATCTCCTACGTTTATCCAATTATAGAACGATGGATGAATTTGGATTCTGCAAGTAAGTACTAATCTGTGTGCTGCTGCAGATAGTATTTTCAACCCTTTCAGAGGCAACGTGGGCTCAAATTTGGTTGACCAAATAGAGGGGGGAACAATAACATGTTGTTAAGTTATATATAATGGCCTTTTTTTCAAAGGCCATTTTAAGGGGATCAAGTGTGAAAAGAACAATAGAATGGCTTCTGTTCTATAGAACGTGGTATCAATTAACTTGTTCCAAATGAGATCGGACTTGGAAGAATAACTAGTTATATCTTCTCATAGTAATCTTTTGTTACTATTGGTTTGGTTACTGAAAGTCGAGACATGGTTAGGTTAGACTGCACTTCGTCTACCACTTAGCTCAAACTGTTTTGTTTTGTTTCTGTGTTCTTCCTCCATAGCTTTCTAATTTATTAGTTTTTGGAATCTGAATTACTCTGTTTATTATAAAATCAATAAGGATCAGATTTCCCACTATGATGGCAGTTTTTATGAAGATGGATCGCAATTAACGCCTCTGCATCCTGGATTAGCGACCAAGCTGTAATGTGTCCTCATTTCTGCCTTCGTTTTGGGGTCAACACACACACATGGACATCAGCAGTTCATCCATATGCATATAAAGCTTTTTGTCTTTCACATTATTATTATTATTATTATTATTGACCAACTATTAATTAACTAAGTAAATATGCATAAAGATTTGAGAGATTAAAGATATTTTATTCCAAACTTGACTCATTCCCATCACAGTGGTTTATTTATATGGATGTTGGTGTTGGTAGATCCTCCTCACTATTGAAAAAGGGAGAGGAAACATGAATAAGCTGAAGAAGGTGAGGACAAGAGACGATATGTGGATTGTGGAAGAAGATTACCACACCGGAGTATCAGCCTCGGTGCCATTCCAGTGGGAGTCAGAGCCAGGCACTCCCAAGGCCAATTTCCCTGAAAATGGGGCCTTCCTCTCTCCTCTCACGCCCCCACCTTCCTATTTCTCCACTAATCCCAACTCCCCCCTCGGCCTTAATTCTTCTAAGCCCTTTCATAGAGCCAGTTTCCTCAACAATGTCTTCAGAAAGCTTTCTATGAAGGCCAGTCTGCAGCCTCGATCGCCCGGCTCTTTGTTGTCATCTTCGTCTTCGAGTTCTAGCAGCAGGGAAAGAGGGACACCCGGAAGCCCGAGGAGATTATCATTTGATTCGAGGGTAGACGATGACAACGGCAACGAAGAGGAGAATGTTGAATCACCTGTTTCTACTTTGTCCTTTGGACATGGAAATGATGAAGGATGCTACCCAAAGTTGGTTAAGGTATTTACTAGAGATTCTAAATGATCGACGAACTTTTGTTTTTTCTTTTTTTTGAGTTTAAGAATGTGAATCAAACCATCAATATTTAAGATGGTATATACTTTATTTACCGAGCTATAATCGGTTGTTTCATGTGGTTATAATCTTCTTTTCTAAATAACTATGTATGCTTGAACATATTCTAATTCCAACATATCAGAATACCTCTAATAAAGAGGTGAATTTCCATGAAACATATGAAAGAAAGTAGATTGAAGAATCACAGACCATCATTATAGAAGGTGAGAGAGAGGGAGTTGAAGATGATAGGAAGGCCAATTCACAGTTGACAATGCCAACAATTTGTGACCACATATATTTTACGAATGTATATAATATTAACGTGGGCTACAACAATATATATTGAAACTGAGATCCACATTTGACCATTCACAATTGACAATCTGAAGTCAACTCTGTATTTTGCAAGCTATGTTGAAAGCAATCATCTTCCTCCACAAGTCTAAGATCTCACATCGGTTAGAGACGAGTTTAAGATCTCACATCGGTTAGAGACGAGAAGAAAGCATTGTTTATAAATATTTTTTTATCTCCATATCGGTTGGGGATGAGAACGCTGCCTTCCTCACAGATTTCTTTGTATCCGCATCATACCATTCATCAACACCTGCAGCATGGCCTCCTTTACAACCTGAAAAAAATGAAAAAATAGAGGTGGAAGGTTCCCCCTGATATTCACAAATTTGATGATTTAACCCTTTTCTTTATAGTAAAGCATGCTTTGATGAAAGCTTATAAACCAACAAGGCTACCAACTCCATAACAGTAAAAAACATAGCAGTAGGAGCCTAACAAAAATGATTTTACCGTTAATAAATGAAAAATATGCCGACAAAATAATTTATTATAATCATGTGCGGGATACCCTTGACAAGTCACTTCCATGTAACGGCCTCGCTTGAAAATCATTTTAAAAACAGGGTGAGTATTAAAATACTCGATAAGGAACTCCCCTCTTGGAATCAAATACATAAACATCATAAGGCTAATCAAACGAAATCGAGGGATGTGGTTAATTACTCAAAACACACGGCATGTAATTTTTCCACTAAAACCATTTTCAACAATCACCTCTCAGAGTGACCATTAGTAGTTGGTTACCCATTCACACAACGTGTAACCATTACCACATGAAAACTAACATCCACCCTTCCCTCTTGGGATCAAATACATAAACATCATAAGGCTAATCAAACGAAATCGAGGGATGTGGTTAATTACTCAAAACACACGGCATGTAATTTTTCCACTAAAACCATTTTCTACAATCACTCCGCAGAGTAACCAACTAACTGGTTACCCGATTCACAGAGCGTGTAACCCTTACCACAACTTCCTTAATCGTCAAACATAATATGCATACATTAGGTCCAAAAACATTTATTTTCGTGAGAAAAAATAAATAAGGTCACAAATCACATCAAACATATTTCAATCATCAAAGATAAGCAATAGGTCTCAAAATATTTATTTTCATGATCTAACATACATCATATCATACAACACACAATCATACAATAACAAACATATTCAACCCATTTTTTTTTAAAAAAAAAATAGAAAGAGAACATATTCAACCCAACGGTTATGTTATTATTGATATTGAGGAAGTCTCCTATTTGATATCTCACAATGGTTGAGGAGGAGAACGAAACACCGTTTATAAGGGTGTGAAAACCTTTCCCTAGTAGACGCGTTTTACAGCCTTGAGGGGAAGCCCGAAAGAAAAATCCCAAAAAGGACAATATTTACTAACGGTGGGCTTGGGCCGTTACAAATGGTATCAGAGCGGACACCGGGCAATATGCCAACGAGGAGGCTGTTCTCCGAAGGGGGTAGACACAAGCGGTGCCAGTAAGGACGCTGGGCCCAAGAGGGGGTGGATTTCATGGGGGGTCCCACATCAATTGGAGAAAGGAACAAGTGCCAACGATGACGTTAGGCCCTGAAGGGGGTGGATTGTGATATCCCACATTAGTTGGGGAGGAGAACGAAACATCCTTTATAAGGGTGTGAATACCTTTCCCTAACAGACGCGTTTTAAAGCCTAAAGCGTTGAGGGGAAGCCCAAAAAGGCAATGGTAGGATTGGCGGTTACATCCTAAGTTCTCCTACGTAAGAGAAGGGCAATTAGCGCAATGACACTATTCTGACTTGGGACAAGCAGAAGTGGGGAGGACTCGAAGCTAAGTCAAGTACATAGGTTTGGAATCATTAAATGGACCTTATTTTCTTCCATGCATAACCCAAACGAGGAATAAAAGCAAGTCATATGTGATTCATCCACAAAACTGGAAATGACAATATGGAACTTGAAACCTGCCCACGGGAGCAAATTCATATGACCCACCTGCTGGAACCCCAACGTTATTATGAGTTAGAACCCAAAGGTTAAATTCATGTGTTCACAGAATATAAATATCAAAATAAAAGAGCTGCTCCACATTAACACCTGAAAAGATTGCATCAATAGCGTACTGATCAGGATAGAAATGGGCACTGGAGTTTCACCCTAAATGGTCAAGCTCCATTTTTCAAGACCATGCCAAATATTCTCAACCAATATAACATTCATATGCATAAGAAAATGAGCACTATCAACCCAATTTTGTAGTAGTTCATTATGCAGTTGAAGTTCATTTGAGACTTACCCACAATACAACCCAACTCTCTAGTACTTCATTTGATGACAGTTAGCAGTTGACCATATAAACCATAGCCCCAGCCCATAACCTGCGCCTACAGCTCCGGCGACAACAATGGCTGAGCTTGCTAATCCTAAAGGCGGAGAGGATTGAGCAAAGAACAGGAGGTGGGACAAGGAAGTTCGGAGGGTAAAGGGATTCATTTCTTCCTCGTATGACGGAGGTCCATGCTAGATAAGCCAGTTTAAGAAAACGGGCTTCCACCACCACTATGGACTAAGTTGACCTCCATTATGGGCGAACGTGGGCTTCCAATATGGACCAATTAGAGCTTCAATCATGGGCTAATTTTTGCTTCCATTTAAGTCACTTTGGGCTTCCAAAATGGACCAATTTGGTATTCTATACTGGTCCAATTTGGGCTTCACGGGCCGATTTGAGCTTCCACTATGCACCGATTTGGGCTTCCACTATGGAGCCGATTTGAGATGGGCCCCCTGTGGACCGATATGGGCCTCTACTAACGCTGACAGATTTGGGCATCAACTGTGGGCCGGCCGATTTGGCAGGGCCTCCACTGTGAGACGATTTGGGCTAAGCCTCCACTATGGGCCGGCTGAGTTGGGCTGGGCCTCCATAGTCGGCCAATTTGGGCTAGGCCTCAACTATGGACCGATTTAGGCTAGGTATCAACTGTGGGCCGATTTTGAACTGGGCCTCCACTGTGGGACGATTTGGGCCTCCACTGTTTGCCGCCCGATTTGGACTTCACTATGGGTCGAATTGGGCCTCTACAGTACGCAGACATATTTGGGGCCTCAACTGTGGGCCGGCCGATTTGGGCTTCCACTGTGGGCCAATTTGGGCTTCCACTATGGGCCGATTTGGGCTGTGCCTCCCCTATCGGCCGGCCGATTTGGGCTTCCAATGCGGGCCGATTTGAACTGGGCCTCCACCATGGGCCGATTTGAGCTAAACCTCAACTGTGGGCCGGCTGATTTGGGCTCGGCCTCCACAGTCGGCCGATTCGGCCTACGCCTCAATTCTAAGCCAACTTGGGCTACGCCTCAATTCTGAGCCGATTTGGGCTGTGCCTCCACTGTGGGCCGATTTGGGCCTTCACTGTGGGGCCGGCCGATTTGGGCTTCCACTGTGGGCATTATTGAACTGGACCTCCACTGTGGGCCGATTTGGGCTTCCACTATGGACCGATATGGGCCACCACTGTGGGCCTCCAGATTTGGGCTTCCGCTATGGGCCGATTTGGGCTTCCACAATTGGACCAATTGGTATTCCGTTGTGCGCCACTGTGGGCCGATTTGGGCATGGCCTCCAATGTGGGCCGATTATGAGCCAATTCGGGATACCACTGTGTGCCGGCCTATTTGGGCTTCCACTATGGGCCCAATTGGTATTCCATTGTGGGCCGATTTGGGCTTCCACTGTGGGCCGATTTGGGCTTTCTCTATGGGCCAATTCGGGCCTCTACCGTAGGCCGGCCGATTTGACCTTCCACTGTGGGCTGACTCGGGCTTTCACTGTGGGCCCAAATGGTGTTCCATTGTGGGACGATTTGGGCTTCCACTGTACCTAATTTGAACTTCTACTATGGGCCAATTTGGGATGGGACACCCATGTGGGCCTATTTGGGCCTCCACTGTGGGCCGATTTGGCCTCCACTATTAGCCCAATTGGTGTTCCACTGTAGGCCGATTTGGGGTTCTATTGTGGGCCGATTTTGAACTGCGCTTCCCCTATGGGCGATTTAGGCTGGGCCTCCAATGTGGGCCGATTTGGGCTTCCACTGTGGGCGGGCCTATTCATCCTTTCACTATGGGCCGATTTGGGCTTCCATTATGGGCTAATTTGGGGTTCCACTATGGGCCTTCTTTGGCTTCAACTATGGGCAAATTTGCGCTTTCACTATGGGTCTTTTGGGCTTCCACTATGGGCAAATTTGCGCTTTCACTATGGGTCTTTTTGGGCTTCCACTTGGGCCGATTTGGGCTTCCATTATGGTTCACTATGGGCATCCAATATGGGCCGAGCAATTTGGGCTTGAACTATGGGCCAATTTGAGCTTTCATTATGGGTCAATTCTTGCTTCCACTATGGGTTAATTTGGTGTTGCACTATGGGACTCATTGGTCTTGAGGCCGATTTGTGCTTCCTTTATGGGTCATTTTGGGCTTCCACTATGGGCCAATTTGGGCTTCCACTATGGGCCAATTTGGGCTTCCACTATGGGCCAATTTGGGCTTCCACTATGGAGCCGATTTGGGCTTTGTAACTTTTAATAGGATCTGGTGTGTTTTTGTATTGGGCCTCATAGACATCGCGATCCACCAAAAGCAGATGTCGTTAAAGGTGAAACAAGGCGGCTAAGATACTGTTCCAACTCCACACAGCGCGAAGATTGGATACCAT